CTGAGCACTGAGATCTAGTAGTACCAGCACTGATATTTTGCCAGATTCAGAATTTAAGCGAATATCATTTATTATCTTAATGAGCGCTGTCTCTGTGCTGTGATGCGGTCGGAAACCAGATTGAAAATTGTCCAGGTATCCATTGGAGTTTAAGTATTTGTTCAGCTGATTAAAGACTACCTTTTCAATAATCTTTCCTATAAAAGGAAGGTTTGATATTGGTCTATAGTTGCTCAATATGGTTTTATCAAGATTGCTCTTTTTCAGAAGGGGTTTAACAACTGCAGTTTTCAGGGAGTTTGGAAAAGTCCCAGAAAGAAGTGAGGCGTTCACCACTTCTAAGAGATCTGCTTCAGACATAATTTCTTTTTCTATCTTTCTTTGTTTTTCTCTTTCTAAGGGACAGACAACACCAAATAAGACTCACAACTGACACACACACAGAGCGCTTGCTGAATGACAAAAAGCTGACGCTGGTCTCACCGCACGTGCTTTTATAGCTGGCGTTCCCCTAGCGTTTTCCGACACAGCTCGAGTTCCTGAAGAGGAACACAAGTTTGTAAGAATTTTCTTAAATGCAATTGTTAGAAAGTTCTTCAGGTGTTCACAAATATTTTAAGAATAAAATGACTGATTGTATAGTAAGTACTTCTCATTACAAACACCTCCTCATTATACAATATAATTATGTATATAATAACATAATAATAATCATAATCATAATCATATATATAATTATATTTAAATTATATATTTTTATATACCAAAATAAAAGATTGTGGTAATAATATCTGTTGTTGTAATGCTTAATATTTTGAACAATACAATAAATTCATAAAAAATATTACTTTTTGTGATTTATTCTAAATTTTAGAGGTCATTTACCGTTATTTTTTATTTTTTTTCATTTATTTAATTTTTTTGTCCTTTTTTTGGCTTTTCTGGAATACGAAATATTTTTAAGTTGGAATAAGAAGAAAATACTAGTCATTTTATTCTCATGAATGTTTGCTTATTTAACTCATGCATTCTAATATCTCTGTCATACATTTACTTTAAGGAAGTAGTCCAGTGTTTATAGCTGATATTAACAAATGAAGTGATTACATGATTGGATTTTTTTATAGCCCATTTACACTTGTATTTTGTGCCGCCCACACATGATTAGATTGTGTGTGCGTTTGTGCTAGAGATCCAGTGAGGAAGCTTTAGCATTAATTTTGTGTAAAGTTAATCAGCCTTTAAAGTCATGCCAGATGATTTATGGTGGTCCAAGCCAACATGCCGATGACAGAATGATGGATTTTTATTTATTTAGGAAGGAGAAAGAAGGAATGATGAGTGAGAGTTGTCGGTCACTGTGTACTGCTCTAGACTCACTCAAGCACACACAGGTGTGTTTAAGGGAGGATATGTCTGGATGAGTGTGCATGTGTGCATCGCCCCTGGATGTGTTTTAACTGTATCTCTGATGGGGTTCAGAGAGAATGTCCCTCAAGCTACTGAACACGTCTAACCCTGCAAAGGTCCTAACCTTTAGCCAAAACTCTTCCTCACTTCTGGACTCTCTCTCTCTGTCTCTCAGATCTACTGGCCAGCACCTGTCGATTGGAGAGAAGAGTGCAACTGGGCCGGGAAAGACATCAATGTGAGTGTCTGCCATAATCAGATCTTGTGGTCACCAACACACCCGGTTTACACATCTATCAGTACCATCTCTCCTATGAGCTGTTTACACACAAACACACACACTCAGACAATTAGCCATGCTATCACAAACATCTCTTCCGAACGGCTCCAACATTAACAGACATAAATCAGTGTAGAGACAAAGATTTCAATCAGGGGTCTGTGGGGTTAATGAAAATACTTCAGAGACCCCACAAAGAAGATTTACAAAACATATAGAATGGTTTTTAAAAGTTTCATAATATTGGTGAACATTTGCTTATCTGATAAGCATTATATACGGTAATAATAGTTTTAGTTTTTTGATGAACGTTATAATAAAGTGTTACTGATTAAAATCTGATGTTTTTATATTGAAGGTCCATAGGTTGGTTAAGATTCTATAAAGGTTAAAAGTGATTTAGAGTAGAATAAATATATAATTAAGAATTAAATAAAGAATTAGAATTAAGAATATAATATTTTTATTAAGCAAAGATGCTTTAAATTAGGGGGGCCCGATACTGAGCTCCTGTACTCTACTCGTACTCGTACTCGTTAAATGCCCCGCCGATACCACACAGCATGTGATAAGTGCCATATTCAGACAAAGAAACACTGACAACAGAACAACAGACAGCAGAATGGAGTTATTAGAGATTAAGGATGTATACAAAGTATATGTATGCAATGAATATAATGTTAAACATTCAGTATTAACGCCTGTATAGCTGATGTGTGCGAGCTGATAGGCAAATCGGCGCAGATGTGCGAGTTTGTCGAGTGAATATACCTTTCTCACAGACATCACTGGAAAGTTTGTAGTTCGGTCGGATATGTCATAAACAAGTAAAACAATGCAGAGAGAGAGAGAGAGAGAGAGCGCAATTCTGTTGTGTGATCTTTGATGTTCACTCACTTAGCACACGCATCATTTGGATTAAAACTAAAT